CATAAATTGGATGTCCTCAGAAGTTAAAAACTTGATCAAAGGACACTATCGATGAAGTGAAAAGAGCCCAAAGAATGGGAGAAAACACTTGGAAATCATATCTGATAAGGATTTAACACCCAGATTATACAAAGAACTGCCACAACTCAATAACAAAAAGAAAACACTCAAATTTAAAAACTTAAGCCGGGCTCCGTGGCTCAGCCTGTAATCCCAGCGCTTTGGGAGGCTGAGGTAAGTCAACTGCCTGAGCCGGCGGGTTTGAGACCCGCCTGAGTAACTTGGCGAGATCTCATCTCTACAATAAATCAAAAAATCAGCCGGGCGTGGTAGAGCACGCCTGTATTTCAAGCTACTCGGAAGGCTGAGGCAGAAGGATTGCTGGAGCCCAGCAGGTCGAGGCTGCGGTGGCCAGGAGTGGCCACTGCACTCCAGTCTGGGCGATGGAGTGAGATTCCAACTCAAAAAAAAAAACCAAAACAAAAAAACAACTTAAAGACTTGAGCAGACCTTCCTCCAGAGTAGATACACAAATAGTCACGAGGCACATGAAAAGGTGTTAGTCATTAGGGAGATACAAATCAAAACCACATGAGATGCCAATTCACGCCTACTAGGATGACCATAATTTTCAAAACCTGGAAAATCACAGGAGTTGATGAGCATGTGGGGAAACTGGAACCTTCATGCATTGCTGTGTGAATGTAAAATGGTATAGCTGCTGTGGAAAACAAAGGGTTAAACAGACCCAGCAATTCTGCTTCTAAGACACCCAAAGGCATTGAAAACGGATTCAGATGCTTGTGCACCAATGTTCATAGCAGTGCGATTTCCAAAAGCCAACAGGTGAAAACAGTGCAGTGTTCCTCAGCAGATGAATGGAGAAACAGATGTGTCATATACATAAGGGGAATATTAGCCAGTCATTAGAAAGTGGAATGATGGATGTTCTCATACATGCTACAACATGAGTGAACCTTGATGGCACACGTGAAAGGACAAAAATGGTATGATTCCACTATGTGAAATATCTGGAGTAGCCAAACTTACAGAGAAAAGGAGAGGAAAGATGGCCAGGTTCTGAAGGGAGGGGAATGGGAATGGGAAGCTATTGCCCAAACGAGTAGAGTTTTGTTTGTGATGATGAACAAATTCTGGAAATAGGTAGCAGTGATGGATATGTAACATTGTGAATGTACTTAATGCCACTGAATTACACACTTAAAAATGATTGAAATGATCAAACACCCTCCCCAAAAACATGGGCTGCGAAGAGCATCCTCTAAGGTTGTGAGGCTCAAAGGCCTGGCATGAGTACAGTCACTGGCACATGGTGAGTGCTATGTCTGCTGTTGTTACTGCTCTGTGATGTCTTCCTTTGTTCTTCCTGTGTGCTACCCTTTGAACCATGAACGTCGGGTAGGAGCTGTACTGTTCCAAAGGTCATTGAAAGCAGAGTTAACTGCAGAAGCACTGCCAAGAGGAAAATCAGTACCTTCTGATTTTGTGAAAAAACAAAACCTGTTTTTATTCAGCCTGGAAACAGGCTAAGGTCAGCAAATATGTGTTAGCATTAAAAATTGCTGGAAAGTAGGTTTACAGAATGAAATCAGTGGAATCACAGGACTGCGTGGTGGTTCTGTGGTGGCAGGGAGCCTAGAATGGTCCATGTTTTTGTCATTTACCAGGAAAAGGAATGGACAGCACTGCTTGTGTTTCCAGGTGTCAGTCACAGAGTCCCTATGTGTTTGGCATCTTGAAAGATGAGGCACAATTTTTAAGTAACACTAACAGTTTGAATAAGTAGGTGGAAATAATGGGAGAAGTCTAAAGGACACATAGATGTGTAGGGGGGAACAGGCAACAAGCCTCACTAATTTAAGATATCTGATGGCGGCTCTGGATGACCTTGCAGGACGGTTCCCCTGGGATCGTTGACAGCTCACACTCAACCCACTGAGCTTTGCTGCCCTTACTATTAAAAGACCTGTCACAAAGCACATGAAAACGTACGTGAAATGTGAAAAGGCAGGAAGGAGGCTCTGGGCAGATCGTTTGTATAGCACTTCAGGGCCTGTGATTTCTCTACATTAGTCTATGTCTCTCTGTCTAAAGGATTGGAAGAAGTTTTAAAGGATTTGGAGGAGAGTGTAAAAGGGGACAAAAAAGAAAAGTTAGCTATGACCTATGTTATTACAGTTGGCAGCAAAAGGCATGTATACATTTAATCAATTAAAATTCTCAAGAAAGTCATTTCCCAGAAATCCTCCTGTGAATCCTTTGGTGAGTTTAACAACTCCCTCATGTTTACATGAAGGTTGGCATTGCATTAAGGTTGGGTGCCCATGGCACCCATGCAGTGGTTTACATTAACAAGTATCTTGTAAAATATCTGTGTGGGAGGGTGGGATTGACTGTTCACCACTTCTTCTGAGCACCATAGAAGGAGAAACAGAACATAAAACTATAGCTGGCAAAAAACTACAGAAGAATTTTTTCAAAGAGTCACCAGGTACTGGAATTGATTATTGAGGAAGACTCAGAATCTGACTACGTGTTGTCAGGAAATATCTGACCCTTAACCTCCTTACATTTTCCTTTTTGTCCTAACTTTATTAAGCCTGCATTCTTACTTGACGTATATTTTTGGCTCTAATTTTCTTCTCATAAATAGCACTGTTGCCAATTTATAACTAGTTTAAAGTTCTTCCTCTAATGTGTGTCTCGGGTGTTCAGAACCAAATAAGACTTTCTGAACTCAAAGTTTGTGTAAATTATCAGCTTTCCATAAGAATCAGTAGTTGATGGCTTCTATTCTGTCATCAAAGTCTTTTCATTTCAGCGGCTGACTGCAAGTAGGTCCTAATTGCAGGGGTTCCCAACCTTTGGACCACGGACAGGTACCGGTCTATGGCTATTAGGAATTCAACCACACAGCAGGAGGTAATTGGCAGGCCAAGAGTGAAGCTTCGTCTATATTTACAGCCACTCCCCATCATTCGCAGTACTGCCCGAGCTCCACCTCTGTCTGATCAGCACAGTCTGATCAGCACAATGGGCACGAACCCTGTTGTGAACTGCACATACAAGGTGTCTAGGCTGTGTGCTCCTTATGAGGCTCAAACACCTGATGATCTGTGGTGGAGCTGAGGGGCTGATGCTAGCTCTGGGGAGCGGCTGCAGATACCGATGAACATGAGCAGTGAGGCTTGACGGCACAGAGACCGTCATAATACTTGCCTGCACACTCATGTGTCGAAACTCCATCAGTGGCAAGTGAGTTGATGCACTTCCATTGTACAGCCACTTCTGGTGGCAGGCTTTAAGTTAGAATCTGACACTTATTTTGGTCTGCTCGTGGGCTGCCTTTTATTTTATTTACCACTTCCATCCATGCCTTTTGTTTTTTGGTGAGCTGTATCATTCATTATATATTAAAATGTAATAATAATAGAAACAAAGTCCACAATGTCATGTGCGTGAATCATCCTGAAACCAATCTCCCCTGACCCTGGTCCGTGGAAAAATTGTCTTCCATGAAACTGGTCCCTGATGCCAAAAAGGTTGGGGGCCGCTGCTAAATGGATCCTTCAGTTAGCACCACCCCCAGCCCAATGGATGCATCCATGTGGGCAAGTCTCTCCTTGCTCCTCTCTGAGGCTGTGTCTTTAACAACCCATGGCCTTTCTCCCTTTGCCCTTAAAGGGAAACAACTTTCAGTCAGACCTGGCAGCCCCTCCTGGACCTTTAGACACAAGGCTAAAGTTCATTCATTCTTTGCCATAGCTACTTTCAGGTGCTCTTTCCCAATCTCTGGATGTCTATGCTGAGATGCAGTAAGGAGCTTGGGGTAAATCCCAAGAGTATCCCAAAGGGCTCAGTTTCATATACGGAGGCCCCATGCTTTCTCAGGGCTCTTCAGCATCTGATGAACCTCTACTGCGGCTCCTTATTCCTGACAACTCCTCGGCTTCCTTTCTCCTTCCTCCCTTTTAATCCCTGTTTTGTGTTGGCATCACTGGCTTACTAGATGGTTTAAAGGTTTGAGAAAATACCGTGCTTCCCCAAGGTGCTCTGCACGTGTAATCATGGGAGCCCCATGCCCTGTTTTCTGCGTGGCAGGACAAGACGACCACTTCAGTGCCATCAGTTATAGTCACACCTAAAGGTTAGGTGCTCTGCCAAAATCGTCTTGGGCTTGGCTTGAGGAAGTTCATCTCTAAGTGAGAAAATCCCCATCCTCTTAAGAAAAACACAGATTTAAATCATCATTTCCCTCATAGATTTTCTTCCTAAGGGCAGATATTGTAAGTGTTAGAGAAAAGATTTAGGAGCTCAAATTGTTTTTTGGGTTTTTTTAAGTTGGAGTCTTCTGTTGCCCAGGCTGGAGTGCAGTGGCACAATCACAGCCACGCCAGCATCTACCTACTGGGCGCTGGTGAACCTTACACCTCAGCCTTCCAAGTTGCCGGAACTACAGGCACGTGCTACCATGCCCAGTTGATTTTTTGGGTTTATTGTAGAGATGAGGTCTCGCCAAGTTGCCCAGGCTGGTCTCAAACCCGCGGGCTCAGGCAATCCACTGGCCTTGGCCTCCCAAAGTGCGGGGATTACAGACTGAGCCACCAAGCCCGGCCCAAATTGTTTTCTTAAAAGAATATTTCTTAGTTCCATTTGTGGGTAAGGTTGACACTCTGTTTCTTTGCTAACCCATTTGATGCTGTAGTTCAGTCACATGCTAGTGGCAAATGGACTGATACTTAGACTGTGTCTACAGTCTGAGAGGCAGAGGATAAAATTTAAGTTTTCTGTGTGTTATTCATGAGGTGATAGGTTTGCATTTATGTTAAGTAGAAAGCCTAGGAATGTAAGGTTTTCTGGCATATAGCGCAGCCAGTACTTATTAATAAAGAGAGGTAACGTTGCAATCTGTCTTTTCAATTTCCTTTATAGTTTTTAGACTAGGAATTTATAAAATTGACTAATACTTTAAAACTTACCTGAATCGTTCGTATAAAGGCCACTGTTACCCGTTCTTCAAATTCATTCAGGGGAGTATAAAGGTTTAAAATTTTGACAATCTGTTGGAACAAAAAACAAAATTTAGCACAGAGTTAAGTGAACACAAGACAAATTTTGAACTTGAAAGAGCATGCGACACTGGCATAAGAGCAGAGCCCTCTCCAGACAGGACCCATGCGACTGGAGCTGGCCTATGGCTCAGGCTCAGCAGCAACGAGCCGGGGTTTGGCCTGGGTGCTCTGAGCCCTCCCACCACATCTGTGTCTCCTGCTTGTCCTCTGACCCCCATGCTTCGTGGGACTGACAGGAGTTCGGAAGACTCTTGCCTGGAATCTCAGCCTCTTGTCTCCTAGTAGTTTAAAGGTTGCTTCCAAAGAGTACTGGGAGTCTTGCCTTGGATGAGAAAGGTCTTGTTTAACAAGGCCTAACTACTTTTCCTTCTTCTCCCCCCAAAAAGCATTTACAAATGAGACTGTCTTCTTACTTGAAAAGGAGTCACCTCCTGCCTGCCTGCCAATTGTTTGGTGTAAGTAGCCGCCCAAATGCCGTGCTAGATGTGTTCTAGAAGTAAACCTAGGAAAGTAAAATACTTAAAGGGGGGAGAAGTTTGAAAACACTGAGTGTATTTACAGAAAGAAGCAGTTTTCGTACGAGTTTGACATTTAATCTTAGTAGTTAGTGGCAGAGGTAAGGAAAGGTATGTTTATTTGACTTTATTTTTGAGTCGTGGTCTCACTCTGTCATCCAGTCTCGACCTCCTGGGCTCAGGTGATCATACTGCCTCAGCCTCTCAAGTATCTGGGACTACAGGCGTGCACCACCATGCCCGGCTAATTTTTTATTATTTTTTGTGGAGGTGAGGTTTTGCTATGTTGCCCAGGCTGGTCTAGAACTCCTGGGCTCCAGCCATCTGCTTGCCTCAGCATTCCAAAATGCTGGGATTACAGATGTGAGCCACCACACTTGGGCAGGAAAAATATGTTTATTTTGCTTTATTAAGATGTGTTTACTTTACTCAATTTGGATTTTGTTGTTCTTTAGGTGCTGGTCAGGAAGATGCATCATTTAGAAAGTCTGATTTCCTTGTACTGGTCTTGGCCTATTTCCAAATAGGCACACTCCTGATATGGAGGGTGCAGTCTTTCTGCATGGGAACAGGATTTATCTTTTTATAGACTGGCAACATGTCTGCAACTGAGTCACACTATAAATTTTGGGAGGAAAAGGAAGGTAACATTTAATGCCTCCAGGTTCTTAATGACTTCATTTAAAACAACGTAGATGGAGTATAAATGAAAGTAGCACCACACTGAAATTATAGTTGTAAAGAAAGCAAATGCCTGATGCTGCCAATTTCTGGGGAAAAAACCTTAAATTTCCATGTGATAAGCATTCCAGAGTTCACTGTAAATGTTTAAAGAAAGTTTTTACCTACGGTTGATGTTCTGTGGGTTCACTACATTATCTAAGTGGGAAGGAGGGGTCAGGGTGTTGCTGGAGAACAGAACCTGTGGCGATTCCTTTCACAGCCAGAGCCAGTGTGCCCGGGAACACCCCACCAGCTGCAGCTTCAGAACTCCACATGAGGGGTGTGCGAAGGCTGGAGCGCAACTCTCCAAAGGTGACCGTTGGCAAGAGCAGATCTGAGACGAAGCCGGGCTGGCCTGGAGTGCCGTGGCCGCCGGAGGTGTGGGTGGCCGTACCTGCTGGGTGCTGAGGGAGGTGCACAGGGAGCAGATAGCCTCTGCGTCCTCAGGGGTTTTCTTCTTCAGCTGCAGGAGCTGGGCTGCCTGGATCAGAGGCTCCAGAGTCTGAGCCGCTCCGCTCTGGTGCAGGTTTCTTCCCCGAAGCCACTCCTCAAGCTGACTTATGTTGTACCTTAGCCACAGGTAAAAAGGGAGCTTATTAGGCCGCTCCTCCTGGGCCCTGGGACAGGGACGCCTGTGGGCTGTGCAGGCCGGTCACGACTAGTTTCCTCGTTTTCCTCACCTTAGCTAGCGCACAAAGTTAAAAGCCTGACAAGTGCTTGAACACAGAGTGAGGAAATGAGTGAGTGGGTGCTGAAAGTCGAGCAAAAGTGGAATACCTGACGTGTCTGTAAGTTAATGGGGAAAGGTAGGCATTAAAGATATGGATTTAAAACATCTGTACTGAATGTGCAGACATCTTAAACTTATGTGTGAGCTTCATGCCTCTTAATTCTTTTTCTCTTTAACCTGTCCACACTGTATTTCTAGCCTTTAGCTTAGAGCATGTAAACATCACGAAGCTTTGAGCTAACTTACTGACCAAGTCACCACTCAGTGTTCAGTGGGTTTTGCCTACAAATAAAAGGTGACAGGTTTGAGTCACACACTGACTGTGCCAAGGACTGTCAGTGAGGCTTGGGTTTCATTTGAGAAGCAATGGCTTGGAGTGGGCTCCAGCTGGTGCCTGTGGTTTGGGGGGGCACCTCTCACCTGTCAGCCGGCCCGCTCTGCCCGCTGTTAGGAGGCACCCCTCTCACCTGAGTTGCATGCCTGTGCTCCAAGAGCAGACGTCCTTCCGCAGGAGCAGGTTGTTGAGGGTCACGGCGTTGATCACGTAGAAGAGCTGTTTGAACACCTGCAGGATGATCTCGGGGTCCAGGCCCTGGTCCCACATGACCGTGTGAAAGACATTCATCTGGTGCGTGATGGCCTCCAGGCAATATGCACCATCCCCACTTGCTGTACTGGAGGAGCGTTTCCGGTAGCCGGTTGGCTTCAGGCCAGAGAGACCCTGGATGCTCTCATTTTCCAACATGGCCGAAACTGAGGGGAAAGCATGATTAGAGACATGTGCATGTGTGTTCCCCACCAACTGGATCTGTTTGGGACCACTCAGATCATTTAGTGCTCGGGCTTTAGCAATGATACTATCCAGAGGTGTGTGATATTGATATTGTCAGAAACTTAAAACAGTTGGCAAAGAGTTTCTAATGCCTTTTTCTCTGCCTGCAACAAAGGAGCTGTGGACCAAATTTTCACTAAATATATCAGTGAGGAGTAAATAGAATGGGCGTGTACTAGCTCAATCTGTCCCACCTGTGAGAGAGCTTACAGCTTGAGACTTAGGCCACTTGGTGTGGTCCTAGCCCAGCTCCCGTGTACGTGTTAGGTCCACTCGTCTGTCAGACTTGATGAGCACCACTTAACTGTGCCCTGGGTGCTTCACATTCTGTGTGGCTATTGCTCTTCCAACAACCCTGTGAGGAAACTGAGGCATAAAGCCTGAGAATCAACTAATTTGCCTAAGGTCACACTCCTAGGAAGTGGCAGGACCAGAATTCCAACCCAGGTCTGTCCAACTCCAGACAGAGTTCACCACCAGGGTATTCTGAGTTATGAAGTATTTCAGCTTGATAGGTCAGTTCCCCCCTGCCCCCGTCTGTTGCCTTATAAGAATGTGTCCAGGCAGGAAGATTTGGAATGAGCCTTACCCCAAGGGATTTGTCTCTGGATTGGTCCCTCTGGAATTCACCCCATTGCCTACTTGTGCTTTAAGGACCTGGACACAGCAGGAGGCACAGCGCAAGGACCGTCTCTTCCTGACCTCACGGAGCACAGTGAGTACTGCAGACACATCTTTACACAAACATATTGATGCCACACCTTACTTGGCAATTCTGACTTTGTGTTCGGTGCCCAGGTGTACTGCTTGGCACAAAGCGTGTGGTCAAGAAGCACTGCCCAGAGCCTTCTGCTGTGTCCTTCCACAGGATCACACTTCCTACTGCTTTTCACGATCAAGTACATAATAGGCAAGAGGGTTGTGTTTTTCAGTGTATATACATTTATATCTTCTGAGCTTGTCTATGAAAGTTAATTTGGAAGATCAATATACTACAGAAAAAGAGAAAGGGAATGTCATCTACACCCACAATGTCCCGGCATCCTGTATGTTTCTGGGATGGTGTTGAAAACGTCACAGTTCTTCTCAGCTACCTCCCTGGGAAGGGTCTGGCTTTCTGCAGGCCACAGCCAACAAACCCGGCTCCTCCAGGCAGGCAGTGCTTCCCACACCTTCCCTTCCTTTCAGACCCCAGGAGTGCTGGAGACTTCCTGCTGCCACTCACCTATCATGGGTTGCAGCACACCCTCGGCGATTTTAATGAGCTGCTGGTAGATCTGAATGGAAAGGTCACTCAGCACCTGGCGGTATTCTGTGAGGTCAAAGTTCTTGAGACAGTGTTCATTCTGCTTCACAGTGTTCTGCGTCATGAAGCCCTGCAGAGGAGAGAGATGGGCATGACTGGACTCCATGTCTGCTAGACTCCAGCCCAGCACCTGGGGCTCTGATCACTCGAGCCATCTTGTTTGTGGGGGCCTGCCCAGGCTCTCTGTTTACTTGACGGCCTATAAAAACCAGGCAGTTGAGGCCTCACTGGTGACCCATGAATGTGAAGGTAGTATAAAAACACAACATGCTAGAGAAGTCAGAACTTCCTAGTTAAAAAGACTTTGTTTAGTCAAATCCCTGAGGTGAAGTGATTTCTCAAAGGCAACAAAACTCAGGTGAGAACGAGGTCCAGAGAAAGAGCGATCCATGACTTCTGACTCTTTGTCCAGTGTTCCCTCCAATATACTAGGCCACCCTGAAATGTCATATATACACAGTCCCTAAAGGAGATTAGGCTAGATTTTGTTTCCATATGCGAAATCTTACACAGATTGTATCCTTGGGTATCAGAGTTAGCAGATACACTGAAATGATTCCATAGCTACAGCACTGTGTCCTCTTAGTGGTCTGTGTTAACAAGATGAAGTAAGATGTAAGTTAAGAGAATTGCAAACATTAAAAGGACTGGTGTGACTATTGTTCAGGACAAAGGAAATCAGCAGCAGTCAGAAAGATCAGTGCTTTTGAAAGGGCACTCGTCCCCAGCAAAGCCTGGAGCCTCAATGAAACAGCATTCAGTGTAGCTCTGTGTTTAAAGTAAATGCTTGCATATGACATTATGCTCATGTGGCAGAAGGCATCTAGTTTGCAACAAAGGCTGTTTTTGTCACCCTTGAACCCACCCCTAATGTTGTAAAAGCAGGTGAGCAAATGAAGCTCTGACTCTCTTGTTGTTGTTTGAAGCTCTTTTATAAAGATGCAGAGTTTTGTTATTCTGTTCTTTTTTTATTTTTGAGCCGGAGTCTCACTGCTGCCTACACTGGAGTGCAGTGGCATGCTCACGGCCACCGCAGCCTCGACCTGCTGGGCTCAGGCAATCCTTCCATCTCAGCCTTCCAAGTAGCTGGAACTACAGGCGTGCACCACCACACCCAGCTAATTTTTTTGATTTGTTGTAGAGATGAGGTCTTGCCAAGTTTCCCAGGCTGGTTTTCAAACCTGGGCTCAGGCAGTCTTCTTGCCTCAGCCTCTCAAAATGCTGGGATTATAGGCGTGAGCCACTGCGCCCAGCCTGAAGCCCTGCCTCTTAGGAGAGTATGGAGTTAAGCCATAGTCCAAAGAAGGTAAGACTGCCTGAAGTGGCATATCCTTTCGTTACCCCAGAGAGAGGGTCTGTCAAAACTTGTCTGGCACAAAAGATGAAATAAAGCTTTAAAAATTATTGCAGTGTTTGGTTTACACTTTGTCTTGACTGTGGGAAAGGTGAATGGTGAGATATGTGCGAGGAAGAGAGCAGAAAGTCAAGGCGACCCATAATGTGGGCAGGTCTAGAATGAGTTGGGATTCTCACTGGAGAAACTCTCGTGGGAGTTTGCCGTACACCAGGTTAGTGGGCAGGAGGCAGAGCATGGGAGTCTTTCCAGGTGCCAGAGTTGGGAAGTGAGTTCTAGGTAAAGCTGGGCCCCAGAGGTCCAGAGTGGAACCCAAAAGGGTGCGGCTAGTTGGGGCTCAGGCCAAGGAATCAGGATGGAGCATGAAGTGGGCCTCCAGGTCACTGTGTCCACTGACTATGGGTGCCCTTTTCTCGTGGCCACCTTGGTCTGTCTTGAAATGGACAGGCAAGCCAGTGGGGTCTGGAGACAGCCTAATGCTCTAGACAGCTGAGCCACTTCTGCTGCTGACCACAGTGGGCTCTCCTGAGGCTGCCCAGACACTGGAGACCCCAGGCTCTGTGACAATGGATGGGTCAGGCAGACTTGGACACACCCTGGGGTGCTTTCGGGGCCCTTGGGCTCCTGTAGTGTCCCTTACTCCCGATGCCAGCACGTGGGGCGATGAGGCCCCAGGCTGAGGTCCCAGAGGGCGTTTGCAGCCTTGCAGCCCTCTCCTTAGGGTGTAGAGCACCTCTGAACCATGTGTGGACACAGCAGGGACGCTGCTGGGTGCTACGTCACCACTTACCTCATCCCCACTGTACTGCTTCAGACAGTGGAGAAGGCGGCAGGTGTTGGATAACCAGAACGACGTCATCTCAAAGTCATCATTGTGCTTCTGTGAAGAGACAAGGAAGGGTTCCCATCTGGCGAAATGCCCCCTTGGCACTTCTTTCCACGCTTCCCACCCCCACCCAGCATTCCCTGGCAGCCCCGATGACGGCAGGGTACCTGCCAGCAGTGAAGCCTGCCGCAAGAGGCTGTGTGGCTTCCTCCACCACCAGGATGGTCCCCAGAGCCCCTGTCCTGGTCCCCATACAGGAACAAACTAGCAACACATGAGGTGTGACCCCAGCAGCCCTAGGCTCTGGTCTGTACCTGGCTGGGCCGCCCTAGTTCTGAACTGCCATTGTCCATGCAAGGGACGCTAGGGAGCATGGCACTGAATATTTCAGTGTCCCAAGTATCTAGAGGTCAGATGTCCAGTGACTTCAGCTCCACATCCCAGAAACCACGAGACGGTTTCTGCACTGAAACCAAAGCTTCATGGAGCTCTTGTCATGACTGCCACTTAAATGTCAGAGTGGTCTGAGCTAGAACAATAAAACCAGGAGGCTGAATAGTGACGAGTGGGATGGGGCTAGGCAAGGTTAGCTCAGGGTCGGTGACGTGTATAGTCGGTCCGACACTGGCCCAGGGCCCCAGCTGGAGCTCGTGAAGGTCAAGGCCGGAGACAGAAACCAGCATATGAATGGACGATTAACATTAAGTGCGTGGGTAGAACTGCCTGTGGAAGGGAAGGCAGTGAAGGCAGAAGCAAGGAGTTCAAGGCTGGCCCTTGTAGGCTCAGAGCAGGGGCCAGTGGCTCAGTGGGCCCCAGAACTGGTTTGGACTCGGTGCTTTTGAGGACAGCCTGCATCCATGAGGCGGCAGTGTGTGCAGGCTGTGGGCAGGCACACATCCCTCTCGCTGACAGCTCACCTTCCACTGCCCTGCCCTAGCCCTCGTGTGGACAGGCCTGACCTTTGAAGCTGATGACATCAGTGCCCTCCCTGTGCCACCACCCCGAGCAGCTAGCATGTCCCCTTGCAAAGGTGAGGGAGGGCCTGTGTGCCTGGTGGTCCCTGAGTTTGCTCCAGGGTGAGGCCCGCTGGTCGGACTGCAACAGGGCATCACCCTGGCACCTCTGGCAGTGGTGGGCCAGGGCTTCAGGATGCAGTGGGCTTCCCTGGAGGCTCGGCTGGGAGCTGTACTGGGTCTCTGTGCTTCCTGCCACTTCTGAGTCTGAGCACCCTGTTCTCGGAGTGGCGGGCACCCCAGCTACACGAATGCGCCTGTGCCTCCTTTGCCTTCAGAGCCGGACGCCCAGGTGTGTCTACTGCCACAGAGCCCAGACACAGAGGTGCAGCCGCAAGGACCTGGCCTCACTCGGCCCCCCGCAGACTGCAGCCTTCTGCTGGGCTGCTCACCTTCAGGACCTTCTTAATGCCGTTGATGGTGGAGGTCAGCAGGGAGTGCACCTTGAGGTCATCGTTGGTGTAGTCTGCGTGCCGGATACACATGTAGAGGATATAGGCAGGGAGGCAGGGCACGGTGCCCGACAGCGTCTGGGGCTTCAGGTCTGAGCAACAGCAAATGGCAGGGTTAGAGCCTGTGGATTCTGGGCCATCAGAATCCTCACGGGTGTGGTGACGTCTGCGCCTCTCCTGTGGCTTCACCTGGGAACAGGCCTCTCGGGGAGGGGAGTGGGGGACACCGCCTGGGTGCACAGGCTCCTCCTGACCCGACGACCAGAGTTTCCAACGCAAACAGACCACCGCCTCCCTGCCTGTGGGCACTACAGCCTTGACACAGGCGGCGGATGCCTCCTCTTGATCACAAACAGGTCTTGCCCCTCAGCCGGGGGACCATGGCCTGGGGGAGGCTGAGGCAAGCCCTGGCCCCACCAGAGCATCAGCTCCTGAGTCCCAGCTCCGAGGGCTGGCCTCCGGACTTGACGCACTGTGTGTCCCCGAGACAGGGCCGGCCTGCCAAGGGCAGAAGGGCTGGAGGAAGCTCAGTCCCATCTGTTCAGGCTAGATGACCGGTGGGAGAAAGGCCACTGCAGAGGCCAAGATGCCAGGTGACATGGGGCATGGCACACAGCCCCTGGGGCCCCACTGCGGCTGGGCTGCTGGGCCCCTTGCCCTTGACCTTCACATGCTGCCCACCCCGTTAACCAGGCCTCACCAGCCACCTCCAGGCTTGGAATGGCGATGAGGGGAGCCCTCCTACCCCCGCCGGGCCGACAACCGGTCCGACAGCCTTGATGGGCTGAGGCTGGCTGGGTTCCACCGTCCCCTCACACACAGCCTTCTAATAACTCCTATTATAGCTAACTGTAGGCCATAATACTCCAGGTACGTGGTTGACATTTGTACCTGTTATAGGCCCAACAGATGGCTGTGGATTGGCCATTAGCTCTAATTAGAATGCCAGGAGTATTTATTCAGAAAAATGCATTTTGCAGGCCCAGACTTCCAACCCGTGGCCCCTCGCTTTAAGACTGATCACGTGCAGACTATAAACGGCCTGTCCTGCCTTGGAATACTGCGATTGCACAAGGCTGCCTGGGCTCCCTGCTAAGTGTGCCAGGGGGCCAGGAACCGTGACTCTCCTTTTCTTTCCATGGCAACCAGCTAGTGCCAGGAATCTAGGAGGTGGTGGGTCCAGTCTCGGCATTAGTTTGGATGGGGTCTTTGGAGGGAAGACGCTAGGTGCTTCTCCTAGGCAGCGGATGTCCTGGCCCGGGGTCACCTGAGAAGTGACAGGTGGAAGGAGCCCCTGTCTGGCACAGGCTGACTCCCTCAGTCCCTTAACTCTGATGCTGCGAAATTGGATTTCCATCCCCCGAGATTAAAGGTTTGTTAACTGCAGCCATGGAAGGAAGTTTAAGATGGGCTTAGGTCACAGTTCCCTGTTGGACAACTGTGAGGGAATGACCCTGAACCTTTATGACGCCCAGTGATAAGCATGCTACGAAACCACCCAAACTAGACAGCTGAAGCAGAACCTGTTCCAGGCGAAGTTGCCCTGCGACCTGCCCATGTCCCTCAGCCCAGACACGGGCTTGGCAGAGTGGACCTCAGTAGCCCTGAATTGAGTTCTCTGAGACAAGAGTTTGCCTCCTTCTGGACGTTGTCTACTCCGCGAGAGCCCTCGCTTTGGACGCCTCACGCTAGAGAAGGGTCTGCAGCTTCAGCTCTGCGCCTTCACCTTTGCTAGACTTGGGCGCCAGGGCCACAGGGTTGGCGTCCCTAGCCCATCTTATAGACGGGACCCTGAGGCCCACAGAGGTGGGAGCTAGCGGCTCAGGGTCCAGAGTATCAGACCACCAAATCCGCCTCCTTGCTCACGTGGGACCCTCCTCTGAGCTGCTCCTCCCGGCTCTGCGGGGGCGCTTGGGCAGGTGCGGTGTTGCTGCCAGGGAGGTCCTGAGACCAGAGGAGGAGCTGAAATGCGGGACCACAGCTTTCAAATAGCATGTGTCCGTCTCCTCCAGTGGGACAAGAGGAAGAAGCAGTTCCTTCCGGGGGCTGTGAGGATCAGCTGGGGTGTGGGGCCATGCGTGGCAGAGGATGTGTGGCAAAGGCGTGTGCTGCTGTCTGCCACAGTGGTCACCACGCTGAGCTTCGCCAGGAAGGGCTGTGGTGGCTGTGGCAGAGGGTCCCAGGGCGGGCAGCTCCCCTCCCATCTCTGTGCCCCGTCCCCCAAGTTTATATTAATCTGCATCGACAGGGTGGCAGTTGTACCAGAAAAGTGGGGGCATCGCTATCGGGAGCTGCAGCTGGAGACGGTGGGTGGGGGAATCCACGTGGCGTCCGGACAAGCAGAGCAGAGGTGGGGCCATGCGGGGGGGGGGTGGAAAAGGCGGGGACAAAGGGGCATGGGCCGCCCTGGGGGTCCTAACCTGTGACCAGGTTCCGGATGAGGAGGGCCTCATCCTCCTTGTGGTACTCCAGCATGCCCTGGAAGTCCTTCTCCTTCCGCTGCACCGTGACCTGTCTGGTGAGCTCCTGGCGCCTCCTCTCGCTCTGGGCCAGCGCCTGGGCCGCTGAGTGGGAAGCAACAGTGAGTGGGGGCAGCAGTGAGGCTTCCAGCTAAGCCCCAGCAAGTAGAGGAGGGACCTGGGCCTGGGACCAGGCGTTCGGGCCTCCCCGAGCTGCCGCACTCCTGTGTGGTCGGCTCCGGCCACTGGAGCCATGTTGCACATAAGCTGAGGAGCTCAGTGCCCGGCATCGGGGTCCCCTCCAGACAAGGGTGGGGGAACACTGGGAGAGGCAAGGGCGGGTTTGGGAGAAAGAGGATGGGAAAGACTGGAGACAGCAGGAGGCTCACCCCCCACCCCCCCGTAGGCCCTCCCTGCCTGATGGAGGGAGGAGGGTGTGTCCTTCTGGGAGGATATCTAGGCCCAGCCAGACCAGTCTACGGACGCCAGAGACAGCCTGCAGAGTATGTCCAGGTGTTTGGGGGAGGCCCGGGCACCACCTGCAGCTGTGGGGAGTGAGCAGGATGGCACCGGCAGGGAGTAAGACACCATGCCCAGCACCCAGCACAGCCTCAGGCTTGGAGACCTGCTAACAGCAGCCTTGGCAACTCAAGGTGCTCACTCAGAGACATTTTGGCGGCGTGGCTGGAGGAACAGAGGCCTGGCTAACCCCTCTCAGGCTCTCCCTTGACCTGATGTAGGAGGCAGTGGGCATCCACGGAGTCAGCCCCATGCACATCTGGGTGCCTACTGCACGCAGGAGAAACAGACATGAGGTGTGCCCGGCCTTGTCTCTGGCCAGTCTGGCTATGGAGACACATCAGTGCAATTACATGGAAACACTTTACCCAGAGGTTGGCCTGATGCCAAGCCAGGGTGCCCACGATGGGCACTGACAATGGCCAGGGCTGGAGGGACCTGACCAGGACGGGGAGGAAGGGTGGGCGGGACACTCACACCCAGGGGCAAAGGGCCGACCCATCAGTCTGCCAGGCCCTACTTCATCTAGCTGGAAAGAGATCACCTCTGCACATGGGTGCCAGAGAGAGAGATCACGCCTGCTCACACAATCCCTGACCAAGGGGAGGGAACGGCGTGGGCGAATGCTGGAGGAAGGCTCCGAGGCGGGTGGGGTCAGTGTGGAGAAGGTGAGAACTGGATTTCATTCTATAGGCAGGTAGGAGGGGGCGGAGGCTGGATAGTCCTGTGGGCAAAGGCAGGCCTGGGAAGTTATAAGGCATCTGGGAACGGGGCAAGGACTGTCACAGTGAGCGAGGAGGGGGCGCGGAAGCCTCAGAGGGGATGGAGCAGGGAGCCTTCAGGACTGAGCAAAGGGAGAAGCTAGAAGCCTGGAGACCCAGAGGAGGAGAACGGGAGGAATGCCAGGTGAGAAATCCGAAGGCAGAGAGAGGCTGGAAGGAGATCGCGCCTGCCCAACACACCCTGTCAGGACAGGACCTGAGACTGGACAGGACAGACAGCCGTGACAGAGCTGTGCCCATCGGGTGTGTGGGGTAGGACCTCTAAGACGAGACTCGGGCCCTGGGCACATGTCCTTGAGCTGAGGGGGAGGACGAGAAGGGGCCGAGGGAGGCTTCCAAGCAGGTGGCCCAGGCAGTGAGGGCCACGAGGATATCTATGCGGGAGCCGGGTGAACATGCTGGTTGTTTCTAGACAGCGATTTCAAGCTCTGCCTGACCTTTCTGGGCTAGGCTCCAGAGTCCAATCCTGACACCTACAGCTTGGATGGGGCCCTAGGACTTTGCATCAGGGCCCTAGGGCTTCACACCGCACCCGCCCCCACGCCACAGTCTTGCCTCTGACGTTAAGCCCTTTGAAGGCAGGGACCACGGGCCCCTTTCTAGGTCCCTCCAGGCCTGCAGAGCCTGGTTTTGAGTGAGCCTCCAGACACCTGCCGAGTTCCAGGTTCTGATCAATGGCAGGTGGCATGCATGGGGTCTGAATCCCATCGCACAGCTACCAGGGAACCGTGACAGGGGAAACATGGAGGTGGGCAGCCATGTTCTCCACGGCCCAGTGCACCTCTGCTTCTCGCGCATGCGTGTGTCACATGCTCACCTTCCAGGTCCTGGACTTTCTTCATGTGAATCTTCAGCTGTTTCTTGAGCTTCCTCTCATTCTTTTCCAGCTTTTCTACCAGTTCTTTAAGGTCCTGGAGGCGGAGGGAGCAGTGTGAGAACAGACCTGAGCCCCGTCCTGGGTGGCAGGGGGAGATCCTGTGTGGAGCGGAGGGACTGTGTGGCCTGCAGGGGTGAAGCCTGGGTGAAGTGGACGGGGCCGTGTGGCCGGCTGGCTCAGGGCCCCAGCCAGGAGGGCCGCCCAGGCCGGTGGCTACTCCCTGCTCTGGAACCCAGGAAGCAAGGGTGAGTCAGAGTCCATTCTCTCAGTAACCACGGGCAAAGGACTCCTCCCGGGTCAGGCTCTCCAGCACCTTGCCAGGTTCCCAAGGCTCGCAAGCCTAGCCTCCTCAGGTTGCCATGCCCACGTCCAGGGAGACACGCCCTACCTGGGCGTCCCAGGCAGGTGAGCAGTGCCCTAGGGAGGAGTGGACAGGTGAAGGGTGCGAAAGTAGGGATGGGCATTTGATTGGCAGAGCCAGCGGGCCAGCCTGGTGACCCAGCGCCCAGACGCCAACAGGACAGTGGCTATGGCCCGGTCCCCCGCTCAGCGGTCGCCACTGGAAGCAAGTCGGCCCACAGAGACTGGAGCAGCAAGTTGCGGGGGGCGGGGTGTGCTATTGTCAGTGTCACTTCTGTTCCCACCGGGCGGGTTCTGTGTCCAGGGATGCAGGAAGGAGAGGAGCCCTGCCCCACCCCCGTCAGAGCCCAGGCTGGACGACAGCCTGATGGTGGAGGCAGCAGAGGTCTCTTTTGGGACCATCAGAAAACACTCCGGCAACAACTTTTTAAGACCGGCCCATGGACGGAGTCAGCCAACAGTTCAAACCACAGACCCTTTTACAGACGTAGTTGGGCACTTCATTTACTCATCTTGATAAAAATAAATTTTTAAAAAGTTTTCAAATTGAGAGCAATCCCAAAACCCAGCCCGGATGGAGACTGGTGGCCTGAAGTGAAGCTTCAACCAGGAGCGCCCTCAGCGCCTAGAGAAACGCTAGCACCTGTGGTCTCCGGTGGGCCCTCGTGTCTCCTCAGACCCTGTGCCCCTCAGGCACTTTCCCAGGCTGAGCGCAGGCACGTCCCGGAGGCTCCCGGCCCCGGGGGCTCCGCAGGACCCCCAAGGGCCACCCCCAATGCCCCGCCCACGCTCCCATAACGCTCCCCAGATCCAGCCGCACCGAATCCTCAGCAATGGTTCTGACTCTTGCAGAACATATACCGGCGCACCGTGGTGAGTGACTTGGCCAACCAGTGAACTGGGGATCCCGTGCCTACAGGTTGGGACCCAGCCCTGGTACCACGCCAGCCATCACTCCCAGGGGCCTTTGTGCGGCATCACCAGCTCCCCAGAAGGCGCTTGTGTCTTTTCCGCTGTTTTGAAAACTTTCACAAACCCCTGGACGGGAGGGCAGACAATAAATGCCGCAGTGCCTGTTTGGAAAGACTGCTCCAGGGCCCTGACTGTTCTGTCTTTGGGAGCTCTGATGCCTCTGCTAGCTTCTGGAAAGAGCTCAGGAAACCCAATACTCCAGCCAGGTGAACGGAGGGGGCCTGGGTTCCACGTCACGGAGGAGCTTTGCACTGCTGGACTCCCGAGTCTCCTCTCTTCTCTAGGCCAGCAGCCCCCACCCAAGGCTGCACTCCTTAGCGTGCCAAGGGGACGTCTGCAGAGCTGTGCTCCCAAATGCTACGGAGTATTAAACTACCTGGGAATCTCTAAAGCCTGAGACCAGCACAGGTAGGATGCACCACAGGGATCACGGGCATAGCAGCTGTGAACCTGTGGCGCTCCCAAGGCCCAAAGCTGGAGAGGCCAGAACTACCAAGAAGATGAATTCAACCTGCAAGGAATCTGGGAAATGGGGGACAAGCATATCAAGTGACTACCAGGAAGGACAGGGACATCCTTCACACGGCCCTGCCGGAGCCGCAACACCTACCAACCACTCCGCCCGAGGCCCTTTCCGGTTCCATGACACCTGCAGTCCCTCATGCACGCCCGGCCGGCAGCAGGCACGCTGACTGAGCAAGGGGAACACGTAACCAACAGCCCAAGGACCTGCCGCCTGGCTCTGCCCTGGGGCCTCCCAGCAGGCGGCCAGCTAGAGCCCTCCTCCCTGCCTGTCCGGTAGCGCAGCCTGCACTGGCCCCGGGGCTCACTACCCAGCAGAGGGGCTGCACTGTGTCCGCTCCAGGGTCTCTAAGGTGGTACCACCAACCTTTCCGTTCACTGACCCTCCCGAGCTGTGCCCTCACAAGCCCTGTGCTGTGAGCAGACACAGCACCCACAGTGCACAGTCCTCCGCATAGGGTGGCCCCCCAGGCAACAGAGGCCTGCAAGTTCATGTCCTAGGCTGTCTTCTCTACCTGGCAGAGGCTGGCCCAAGCAGGGTAACGCGTATGTTTCTTTCCATAAAGCCACCAGTTCACACACGTTTGTGTGGCACCTGCAGACGGAGGGAGGGTCGTGTGTATACAAGTCCTGTGCAGAGAGCTGAGGTCCTGGGCCCCGCTGCCCTTCTGGGATTGAGTAAATGGGCCATGCTGTGGGCTGCCTGGCCATCGAGGGCCTGGGTGCACTGCAGAACTCTGCGACTGAGCGTAAGCCGCTGCTCAGGGGCCCTCACTCCTGCCAGGTGCCTTGGTCCTGCTTTGTTTCACCCTCCTCCTTCGGTGTCTCCCCTTTGTGCCTCCTGTCTTGGCTCAGGGTGCCCCTCAGAAATCCTCCCCCGAAACGCTTTCGCTTTCTGTAATGCTGGTGAGACTCACGCAGGACCGTGTTTCTACCAACACTGTCTTCTGTATATCCTTACTTCCCTCTGCCCTGCAGGCTCTCTCAAGGCCCAGACCCTCCTTCCTCCCTCTGGCATCTGCCAGGGCTCCTTGGGTGCCAGTCGGCAAAGATGGTCCCCGACAGTTCCTCTGCTGCCCCCATTGAGAGGCACATCCCCCACTGTGCCCAGCCCAGCTGTGTGATCTGCCCAATGCGTGGCACGTGGCAGACTGCCTCTGGGTGGATCTGGGACTAGGCCTCAAGGGGCCTTGCGGCTCCTGCGTTTATCCATTTGGAAGCCAGCCACCATGTGAGACACTCAGGCTGCACCAGCGGGGTGGCTTTCAGGTCTCGGCGTCTTGTCACGACACAGTTGATCTTAAACCTTCCTCCAACTCATTTAGTTTTTGTTTTGGATGGCGAGGGGAGAGCCCACGGGCAGAGCCAGCCCCTGGGGGAGAGCCCAGGCCACCAGCCCGCACCACGGCCCCAGACATGGGATGAGGCTATCTGGGCTCTTTCAGCCCCAGCCAACACCATGCGGAGCAGAGAAATGCTGTTCCCACTGAGCCCTGCCAGGATTCCTGATCCACACAAGAACAGCTGCTATTTTCAGCCACTCAGTCTTAAGCTGCTTGGCTCTACACAGAAAACTACACAGATGATTCCGTTATCACCAGCAGATCAGGGAGTTCTAGACTCACTGTTCCCACCAAAGGGGCCTGGATAAGGCCTTGAACCTGGTCCGTTCTGCCCAAGGCCAACCCGGACCCCGTTTTCTTCCCGAATACCTCTTCTCAGAACTGGGACTCACGAGGCAGGGCGACTCACCAGGTTGTCGTTGGTCAGCCGGGATATCTCCTGCTGGACGCCGAAATCCACCTGCGCCTCTGGGGACAGCAGCAGTGTCTGGCAGAAGGTCTGCTGCTGCCTGTCCATCTCCTCCCTCAGGGCCTCCATCTGGGCCTTGAGACCGTCCACCTCCTCCTCATGCTCCAGGCTCTGGGCCTGCAGCTGTGCCTCCAGCAGCCTGTGGGACAGGAGGACAGGTGACCACACAGCTCCATCGGCGCCTCCAAGCAAGGGCCACAGACGGGAGCAAGGGACAACACGGGAGCAGCCAAGCACACAGCAGCAGCGACTGCCCGTCCCCAGCAGGAAGTGAGCACAGCAGGGACACCCGTGCCTTGGAGGCTACCAGGCGGGCAGGCCCACTCCTCCCAGACGACGGGAGGCTGAGGCCCATGGCACCCTGGGTCTTCGGCCTTCTCCCTGACCCTCGTTCCTCAGTCTGTGGGCACAGCTTAGTGTCCGGGACTGAGAGGCGTCTCCGTGTCAAAACATCATTAGCAGAAATAAACTTAGAACATCTTCTAAACGAAAACATCCACATCTGCCCCAAAGTTCACAGTAATCTTCTCGTTAAGACAAAACTCTGGTAAACTGAGCGGATGATATTATCTGCATATCTGCCCTACAGCAGACTCTCCACAAGTTTTAGAAAAGCAACACATTGGCTCATTGCGTTTTTCTCTATCCTCACCATTTCCACCCCCACTTGAGCTCACACAGACCACTGAAACATGTATACAATTTTCACCTCTAGTTTCCCCACAGCCCCAAATGAAACCCAAGGCTGTTGGCAAATGATCTGGGGAAGGTTTAAAATCATCTGGTGCCATGACAAAAAGCAGAGAGACAGAGAGAGGATCTAGAAAAGACTAGAGGGACATTTCATAGACTCAGTCAGGAGGTCCTGGCCTGGGGGGTGCCTGTTACCCAGGGAACTCTTCTACTGTGGGCCAGAACTTAAGGAAGGTTTGTAAATAAGCAGCCTCATCTTCGGGAAGGTAAGTGCTGACACGACCACAATGCTGTCGTCCTGGATTGGAACCAGAGTCCTGATCCAGTGCAGTGACTCTGAGAAAGGTGGGTGCCAGGTGGGGCTACCGTCAAGAGCTTCCCAGTGTGGTCTACCCGGGAAACTCCGCCACTGGCTCTCCCAGGGATGCAGGTAGATTGTGGCCAGAGTAGGCACCGAGGCAGGAGCCAGGGAGTGCCTGGGGACAGCTGTGGGACCCCATGGCAGCCCGATGTGGGCATGGATGGGCCCTGCTCCACATCTTCGCCGTTGGGAGCCAGTAGCCGTCACGAGGGGGCAGGTGCGCGTCTACAAGGGAGCAGGGGCGAGGGGAAATCCACACTGCCCAATGGAATGGAAACAGCCCCATGGATGCAGTGGGGGCACTCCCGTGGCCTCCCAGTGGCTTCTCTCAAAGCGTCACAATGAAGAAATGGTTGGGGAGTTCACCCGTTCACCACAGGCAGCATCCACAGAGGAAAATCACAGCGTGAGGGCTAGGAGGAGAATTGGGGGATTATCACAGCATTCCAGGTGCCCTGTGATACTCAGATAACATCTGACAGTGGCCACAGCATACCAAAGTCATCACCCATAAGTTTGATTTAGTGAGAGAAGAGAGTCTCCTGGGTTCTGGGCATGCTGCCGAGGACGTGTTCCCGGCGTGCGTTGCACGTTCCACGTTGGTGTCTCTTACTCTCCAAGAGGACCATGGTTGAGCGACTCAGCCAGGCCCCGTGCCATGTGCAGGATTCCCACCTGGATCCAGGGAGGCTCGACGCCATGGCTGGAGGTGGTGTGGCTGTAGAAGCCAGGTCTCAGCATGTGGGCCTGTGACTTTATAAACACATTCATTTGCTTACTCATGAAGCCACATCTGATCCACAGACAGAGAGGCGCGAAGGGTCACGTGCTTCACACGTGGGTCCCTCATCCTGGCTGGGACAGGAATCTGATCTTACTGAATAATAACCGTCATGGTAACAGAAATGATAGCTAGGATTTATCCCATGTATGCGCCATGTCAGGCATGTACAGAGTGTTCACGTGTATCCTATCAGCCTTATTCTGCACAATGCCCCTGGGAGGAAGGCGCAATTCTGAGCCCCCTGTCTGCCCACAAAGACATGGATTCAGGATGTCACCTTGCTCCAGGCCGTGGGGCCACACCGTGACTTCCTCCTGCCGCCATGGGGCCTCAGCTCTGTCTCTAGGAGGCCGCAGACAGGACCAGTTCGAGTGAGGGCATGGGCCTCTCTCCTGCTATGGCCTACCAGGCCGAGGGAGTGTGGTGTGGCACTCATGCCACCTGCACCTTCCATCGGATGCAAGCTGGGGAGCCACCAGCTCCTCTCCTGCCAGGGGGCTCCAGTGAGCAAAGCCAGCCACAGTCCTAAAAGCCACACGCCTGTGACACGCCTATGACATGACTACCATGCATGCCTAGCCTCTCTGCCTAAACTGCTTGCCCACTACTAAAGGCCAGTGGGTTTCAGGTTCAGTCTCTGCTGTTCAGCAGAACCAGGTTCAAATTCGAATCTTCCATATCCCCAACACGTTCCTTAAACCCTCCAAGTTTCAGCGTCCTCACCCCTAGGATACTGTGAGGCCGGACATGGGGGTGTATGTATGCCTTCAGCTATCACCTGCTCCATAGATGGGGCAGTACCCATGGCAATGGCAGGTTCGAGTCCCACAGACGGGACAGCACACGCATGACAGCAGGCTCTTGGGACAGCATGCGTGCCAACAGCAGGCCCCAGAGTCCCACGGACGGGACAGTACGTATATGATGGCAAGCTTAGGGGAGCACAGGTTGCGTGTGAGCACGGCCAGCAGCACAGGTCAGGCCAACATTCCCAGCTGACCTGGCATGGTCAAGAGGGTGATGTGGGGTGTGCCAACAGCACAGGCCCAGAGCCGCCACCTCAGCCTGGCTCTAGAGGGCTGTGTACCCTTGGCCATGTCAGCCCGTTTCCCAACTTGTAGAGCAAGCGGGTCATGCCCTGGCCTCGAGGGTTCAGCTGGGCTACCAAGTGCAACCACCTTGGCCCAAACAAGCAGCCTCCCTGGCCTCAAACACAGCACAGGGACAGACGGGCAGGCCCAGGGGCCACCAGCCAGGCACATGTGTACCCTTCCCCGCCCCCACACCCACTCTACCGCGAGTCAAGGAAGCGTGGACATGAGCAGGCAGAGCGGACAAAGCAGACATAGGAAGGAAGGAATGCACTTGAGACCTGGCAACTTGCTTTAGGCCCTGGTAGGCCAAGCCGAGCTCTCCATCTTCATTCAAATATCCCCAATCCTCAGTCTTGCTAGAAACAAAGGACAGAAAACAGGTGTGCAGAGTAGAGGACAGAGCCCAGAAGGTGAGGCAGTTCCAGCCAAGGTAAGGAAGAAAAGACAGGCTCAAGAACCCCCATCTCCCTTGTCCGCTCCTGTCTCCTGCACACGCGTCCCTCCTAAGCCTGGGTTTCCATCACTGTCCCGGAAGCGGGGCTCACTGCTGATCGCAGGCAGGGAATGTGCTGCCCGAGGACATGGCCGCAGCCTGAGACAGCTCTGGGGGAGGCACAGCTGGGCTGAGTAGAAGTGCCGACACTGTCCCGTACTGAACTTCCCCCCACCAGAATGACTCTGACAGGAGCAGGGAGACAAGCAGAGCCTGGAGGTCCCCATGCCTGGGAGGCTTCAGGCATGAGCGGACACTCACTGCGGGGACAGGATGCTGCAGCCTGCATAGCAGCTGCTGAGACCCCTAGGACACACAGACCTACCCAGAGGAGGACATGTCACCTGCTTTTCTGTTCCTTTTGTTAAAAAAAACTATGTAATGAGGTTTATTCTAAGAAAGAGTGACCACGGTCTGAGGCAGTCTCAAGAGGTCCTGAGAACACATGCCCGATATGTTTGGGTTATAGCTTGGTTTTACATGTTCTAGGAGGACAGATGTTACAAGCAAAGACATCAAACAGCAGGTATAAGGCACACAAAAGTGCACCGGTTTGGCCTGGAGAGGTTTTCAACACAGCCCTTTCCAGGGAGCGTTAACTCACCCAGAGTCCCCAGAAGGCAAAAGCAAAGACAGACCTTAGGACGCACCCGTGAGAACTGCAGGACGTCTCCCATCGGCCTGGGGCCCAGGATGTTACTCCTGTCTACTCGACTTGGAAAGAGAGCACCTGAGCCCCCACCTCTTCTGCCTCCCCAAGTGGCCCAGTGTCTGCCCCATGCTGGCCAGGGCAGCTCCTGGAGGTCAGGGATGTGGCAAATGCCCCTCCGTCCACGCCCCTTCCCACCTCGCAGCCCTGGGCACACAGATTCTCCAAGGCCAGCAGGGTGGATGGGGAGGGCGAGCCGGGCCCTACTTCCTGGGCCTCCTCCCACGGGCTGGATCCCCCGGAGCAGGAACTGCCTCCGCACCACCTGACCCGAGGACTGAGATCGCCCTTCCCAACCCCCAGGTGGCAAACCACCTGTCCCCAGGAGTGTTCCAGGCCCCATCAGCCACTTACTGCCCCTCAGGCTTGTATGAGGCCCAGGGCTGTGGCCACCCGTTACATCTTCCCCACCTCATCTTGTGTGGACGTCCTCAGACCCTGCGGCTTCCAGAGGCTGCCGCTTGGACAGAGCTGGTCACATCACCAGGCCCTTCCCCACCGTCTGTAGGAGGCAGGGGGCGTGGGAAGGCCACCAGGGGCAGCTGTGACCTCTGTTTCCCAACCTACCTTGCATTGTCCTGGCTTCTCCATTCAGCGGTGCAGGGAGGGGCTGCTGTGCACAGGTTTCCCTGCTGTACCTCCTGCTCTGGACTCAGCCCCTCGAACGCCCAGAGCCTTGCCAGGCCGGGCCACCAGACGCTGCCTTTGGTGCTGGGCTTTTTGCCAACCCCGCTCCCATGGTTGGCATATAGCTGCCCCATGTCCCTCTAACCTGGCAAACCCCAAAGTGGCTGGGCTAGGTGAAGGGGGGTTGGTACATGACACCGTCCCCTCCAGGGGTCATGCTGCATGTGACTGGCCCATTTCCCAGCTGTAGCCACGGGAGGGCTCCCTGGAGGACAGCAGGCCCTGCTGCAGACATTCTGAGGAGGCCAGAGCTGGAAGGGAAGAGCAGGGCTCCTGGCTTCAACCTTCTTTCCACACGTGGAGACACCAACACCTGCCTTGGGCCCAGCCTCTCCTGAATTGCTCTAAAGCCCCTCCTGGCCTCACTCTGGTGGCTTCTTAAGACCCAAGAGGGGTGCTAGGCTCTCTCAGGTCACTGCACGTCTGCAGTCCCACAGACCTGCAGGTGCAGACGTGCTCTAGGGTGGGACGTGTGAAGTGATACACAACGAGGTTGCTAGACGGACCTGTGTCCCAGCCTTGGAAGAAACACAGAGTCCTCATGGACAGAGATGAAGGCAAAAAACCCAGCAGCCCAGGTGCCTGCAGCACCCAGAGGCCAAGGCAGGAGTCCACTCACATTCAGCCCTGCTAGCAGCCAGCCTCTGTTCCCAGGTGAGATCCCTGGGCCTCCTCCCCCAGGAGATCCCCCTGCTCCACAGGCAGGGAGGCAGCTGCACCTGCTGGTGCGAGAGGAAACACCCCAAGGCTCTGCTCTCAGGACTTCTCTTGAAAACCTGAGTGCTTGGTGTCAGTTAGCAAAGACTTACGAAGTCCTGTGTGCAAGCTGCTGTGCTGAGCCTGGCCCTCAGAGACCAGTCACACAACAGGCCAGCAGCAGGCCCCAGTCGGCAAGGGGTGGGCAGGGGGCAGATAGGGGAGGCAGACCAGAGAGCTGGCAGGGTAGTGGGGAGACGGGAGATGGTGGGGAATGGAGGAGACAGGTCAGAGGCAGGCAGGAAAAACAGGTCAGAGAGCAGATTGGAGGGGTGGGGAGACAGGACAGTGAGCAAGTGGGGCAGGGGAGGCAGGCCAGAGAACAGATTGGGGGGGTCTGGGAGGCAAGCCAGAGAG